GACAAGTACCAAATGATTTCACTCATATGTGGAGTCTAAGAACAAAGGAAAACCAAAGGAACAAAACAGCAGCAGAATCACAGAACCCAAGAAGGGACTAACAGTTACCAAAGGGAAAGGGACTGGGGAGGATGGATGGGAAGGGAGGGATAAGGGCAGGGAAAAAGAAAGGGGGCATTATGACTAGCATGTATAGTGTGGGGGGGAGGCACAGGGAGGAGTGGGCAATACAGAGAAGACAAGTAGTCATTCTACAGCATCTTAGTATGCTGATGGACAGTGACTGTAATGGGGTTTGTTGGGGGGACTTGGTGAAGGGGGGAGCCTAGTAAACATAATGTTCTTCATGTAATTGTAGATTAATGATACCAGAATAAGAAATATATATATATGGTTTGTTCCCTAACTACTTCACTTTACATCTATCAAGAGTAATGTTCCAGGAATATATTTATTCACATTGCTATGAGAAAAAACTCCTGTGTTAAAAGCCAGGGCCTTAGACAGATTTAAAGTCAGGACAAAGAAATAAAGATAGATGATGATAGATTAATAAACAGATAGATAAGATAGACAGATGGATGATAGGCACATGCTAGGTGGATAGTTTTGCTCTGTTTTGTTTTTCAAATTGCACACTAATACAGAACATTAATTGAGGATTGATTAATGGCCTATTATTGTGCTATGTTTTGGGGATGAAAAAGGAACGAGGGATATTTGAATTAGGAGATATGATTGCTATCAGCAAGGACTCAATTTCTCTATGTCAACAGACAAAATTGTGTTTACTGCTGAGACTGTGTTCATAGATACAGATTGGAATGTCTGAACTCACCCAAAACAGAAGGATACAAATGAATTTAGAGATACTTTGGCCTGTTAAATTATGCAAAAATAAACAACTTGACTTTTTAAAGAGATATTTGTACATTACAGGAGTTCAGTCTTGCCTGTATTCTTCATATTGGTTGTTATTTTTTTTTTAAATACTGGGTTTCTGGCTTTTTTTTTGCATCATCTAATATATCAATATGTAAAATAATGGTTAAAGGTCTACAAATTATGGGCTTTTTATAGATTCCAAATGTAATACATTTTAAAATCTCATAAATGTGGATGAAAGTATGGAATCCAATGTTGACACTGCCATGTATTAAGTAGCAACAGCAAAGCCAAGGGGCAAGTGGCCTCTGAGGTTGCCAGAGCCCAAGACTGCAGGGCAGGGAGGCTTCCACCTTAAGGTGGCACAGTTTAGTCAAAATGCACAGGAATAAGTTAAAGATCAAAACTCACACTCAAGTACATATTAATGACTGAGCAAGAAAGAGGAACAGAGGTGAGCTCTTTCTCACCACACTCAGTGGGAAGTCATTCGACCCAGATCTCTGCTCTAAGTAAGTGACCAGCGCATCCACAAGTGAATCCAGGACCATCTCATTCTGTTGTGCCTTGGACAGTTCTTTCTTACTTGGCAGCTCCACCACTTCTTCAGCCCCTGAAGTTAACATCGGAAATCTCTCCATAAATAGCACAATTACTTGGAATCCAGCTGTCACGCACAGTTCTCTGCATCTGATCATTTCACTGATCACTGTCGAATGTCTAGGTGTGAACTAAGAAAGCTACTATACTGTGTATCTACTAAACTGCAAAGAAAGGAAGACTGTCAGATTTTTCTTAGAACTGATTTAAAACTAAGATGTGAATACTTTAAAGCCACCTGCATTTTTATAGTTGAAATACTCTGTATTCAGGAAATTCATAAAAGTTTTCCCATGAACAAAACCTTCATGATGTATATGCATATGTGCCTGAAAATAATGACCTCGAGTCACTGAAAGTAAAGTCATGGCCTAAATTAAAATTTGATGATGACTTTATTTTCTACAGGAATCCTACAAAGTAAGAAGACTGCCTTACCTCAGAGTCTTCTACACACATATATCCATTCTTAAGTGTAAAGTACATGAAAACTAAGAAATATTACTGGAGAGAATTTGACCATTAGATGAGAAAGAGAAAAGGCTTTATTTGGTTGTAAATTCTTCAAGCAAGCTCATTATTGTATTTCAATCACTTCAAAAATACTTTTGTGGAGCTTCATGCTGATAAAGAAGAGAAAACAAACAAACCATGCCTGCAGCGAAAGTGTGCAAATTCCTTGAGCTGGCAGGGTCTAGGCATCCTGGTGATTGACAGCTGGGAAAATCTTCATGATTGGCAGGACCCAGCCATGCCCTCCAGGGGGATTATTTACATGCTGACACTAAAAATCATGCCAGCCTCTCTCTCCTACTTCTTTTTCCAAAATCTTTTATTAGTAAACTTCTCCCGCTGTTTTACCTGGGCCATTAAACACATTATAGGCTTGCTCTCCCAGAAAGGAGAATATAATATAGTAGTTAAAGTACAGGTTTCAAAACTAGCACCTCAAAAATTGAACCGCAGTGACATGTCAGAAAGCCAGGTCAGATTCCCCAGGTGAAGAAAGTGGAAAAGACTTTCTCTTATTCCTTATTTTTGAAAAGTGCAAAATGCCCTAACTCTCCCCCGTAAATATTCATCTCTTCTTTCTTCAGTCTTCCCTGATCTGAGATGGGTCTTCGACATGGTTGGTGTTCAAGAGAAGGAAGATGTAAAACATTTTTCTAATCCCAATTCTTTTTCCAAATAAGAATACAAAATTTTGATTATGAGACATCCTTTTATTTTCTAAAATAAAAGAACTGAGAAAATATTTAGGATATACACTGGACTCCAGCCATGGTGGCCTCCTTCCTTCTGCAGGCATCCTAAAGTCTCATGTGCAAAGAGCTGCATTTTTTTTTTGTCAGAAATGTGTTTTTCCCCCACATCTTCACATGGCAAACACTTCATCACTTAATGCACTCTAAACTCATGAACAAAGTGGGGAATCAATATGTACTAAGAGAAAAGAATTTAGAGGTTTCTCAGGGATTTCTTCTGTTTTGTGGAAAATTTAACCTTTCCTTCCCCTTTCTCCCAGACAAGGAATAGGTATGTCTTTGATACTTAATTGCACTAATTTTGAAATTTCCCTCAATCTTTTCCATAGCTGGAGAGAATGGCCATTTTAAAAGGTAAACGCGGCTCACCACCAGATCTTGTCTAACTGTAAACAGAGCTGATGGGACAAAATATGGAAGAAATGGAGGAAAAGGTTGAACTAAGTGAACTAACGCCGCTTGTAAAATCAAGTGAAGTAGCATCTCCAACCTAAAAGCAGTTAAGAATGTCTCTCTTGCTCAGTGCTAAGAACTAGGTTATATGATCTCTGACAATTAACATTTGACCTTGAGAAATAAGAATAGAGGGAGAGGAGGGAACTCAGCAGTTTGAGAGGAAAGAGCCTGCAGCTTCTACTGGTGAACAAATGGGGAAGGGGATTGGAGAGCTCTCCCCTCTGAACCACTTTCAACAGTTGGCAAGCAACAGCCACCGCAAACCATCCTGCTGGTGTCCCCCAGTCATTGATTTTGAATAAATAAATACTGTTAACATTGGAAAATGTAAGCAAGAGGCTGAATCCAGGGGCTGCATCTATGGGTAGTGGAGTAGAATTTCCCAAAAGAAGAGGAAACCTTCCATGATGGAGATGAGAAAAAGGAGCCACTCTCTCTCAAAGACAGGCACAGAGACAAGAACATGGCGGGTGTTCCAAACACTCTGAACAGGAAAATGGGTTTCTGCGCACAGCACTAGGAATCAGATATTTGGTGTGCAGTTTAAAATGTTTCCCTCCTGGTCTGAACTTTTCTTCTGGCACCATTTGGTCAAGTCTGATGTTTTCTAGAGCTTTCTGGATTGGGGCTTTAGAGAATAAAAGGAATGATGGCATGTGTGTGGCCCAGTTCATATATACTCTCAGCTGACCCAGTTGAGGAAGAAGACAGCATTGGGGGCTCTTTGGCAAACACATCCAAGTTTATGGTTGAGCAGGGAACAGGGAAAGGGCCGGTGACATCTGGGAACAGCCACGTGCCAGACACAAAGGGGACAACTATGAGACGACCCCTCTTCCTTTTCTACTGTCATAGAGGGAGGCGATCTTAGATTAGAGATAAGAAAACTGACACATGAGCTACATAGGCCGCAATCCACAGGCTTCACAGTTTGAGATTTCTATTGAGCAACAGCAAGAATAGAAATGTGTATCAAAATCTCATCACTTTGATATGATAGATGTGCTAATGGGGTTGGACCCAAAGGTACTAAGTGGAGAAATGTACTAATTGCTCACGTGTCTGCTACAACTTGCTGCTTTGAATCACTTTTGGGAAAAAGTTTGATGTTAGCTCATTAATTTTACATCATGTGATGCTAATAAAGCCTCTCGGCTTCTACACAGTAGCAGTGCTAAGTGGAAATTTAAAAATAGTGAACAAAGTAACTAATAGATAAAGTTAGTGAAACAGTTAATGAAAACTCAGATTTACAAAGAGGTAAATATATATTTCATGACCTGACTCAATAAGGTGTTCATTAAGAGGCCACAATCTTTAACATATGAGTAGATCCCCCCAAATTAACATTCAACTACTTCATTGTAGTTCAATGTTTCTAAAACATTTCTATTTTTAAAAAGAGCAACATTTCTGTGAATAGTCAAATTCGGAGTCCACTTAGGCCGGGGAACGCTGAGATTGCTTCCCTACTTCCAGGCCCTCTGCCATCAGGTGATCCTGCACTCGGCCATTTGCCTAAATCCTTAAAACCCTGTTTCTAGCCTGTTATCCTGCCGAACAACATTCTGCGGCTTTTCAATGCTATTCAACTTAGGTCAAATCGTTCTTTGTGGAGTTTACTCCCTACCACATTGTTCTAGTTATCTATTGCTGCATAATAAATCATCCCAAAACTGCATGATTTCAAACAGCACTCATTTTATTCTCTCACGGTTCCCGGAAGTTGGGAATCCAAGAGGTGGTTCTGGCATGGAGTGTCCTCTGGGGCTGCACTCATAGGGAGGCTGCTGCTGGGGCCCTGGCACGAAAGCAGCTGGAGCCAGTGGGGCATCACTTCGTCTGTTTGCAGTCAGGCTTCTCCTTGTGGTACCGGGAACGGTGCCACCTAAGGGCTCAAATGTGATTGTTCCAGAGAAGTAAGCCGAAGCTGCACAGCCTTTCATGATGTAGGCTTGAAATAACACAGTGTCACTTTCAGTGTATACTTGTGGTGAACCAGTCACTGAGCCTGGCCCAAAATCAAGGGAAGGAGATGCAGACCTTGCCACTTGATATGAGGCGTGCCGCTGTCACATGGTGTCTCTCCAAGAGTACGTGGAATGGGAGACATCAGTGTGGTCACCTTGGCAAATGCCATGCGCTACACATACTCTGGTTTCAATTTCACTACACAGCCTAAACGATGTTTTCATTTGGTTTCTATCTACATCCGCATCTCTGCCTACTTGACCAAATATACTCTTTGATACCTTGGGTCATTGTTTATAAAACAAGCACGTGGAGCATATGTCTCTGCCCTATTGATATTGTGTTTGGCCATGTGACTAACAGACAATGAAAAATGGGATGCGAGCAGAGATTTTAAGAGAGAGTGTGGGATTCTTCGACCTTAAACACAGTGATCAGCTGCAAGAACTTTTCCCAGCAGTGGGTGCCCCTTTATCCTGAGCCCCAGAATGAACAACACAGAGCTGATGGAAACCAATCCACAGCCTGGAGCCAATCTCAGATGGCAGGAGTTTGAATCAGAATCACCCACCACTGAGGTTCACTTCCCTATGTGGTAGTAGTTGCTTTAGTTAGGCTTCTTTCCTTGTATTTCTGATTTCCCACGCACAGTCTGATTTTCACTCACAGGGGTGGGATGCTATCCCCCACCCTCTTTTACCCACCCTCACATCCTTTCTATTTTCGAGGTTCACTGTATTTTCTCCCTCTCCAAGACCTCGGGCTAGCTTAGTAAGTGATGAAAGAGTATGTGGGAAAAGCCAAGGCCTTTCTAGATCAACTGACAGCCGTTTTATCCCAAATATGATAGAACACGACTGGGATCAGAGCCACATCTATTGGCCCAAGCTGACCAAGATCCACAAAGGTGGCCAGCCTACCAGAGACTCAGGGGTGACAATGGTTGATGTTTTTGTTTCAAGCCACTGTGTTTGGAGTTGTTAACCCAGCAACAACTAATGGATATGTGAATATTTATTAATCCTGTTAAAATATATTGAAGCACTAGCTCATGTTAACTTTTGTGGTACACATTTGATTCATGAAAACAAAATGGAGAAAAATTTAACCAAGTAAAGATGTATAATGTTTGCATAGATTACAATAAAATTGTGCTAAATAAGAAGGATATTATGCTGGGACATTCTCTGAAGGCCAGTGTTCCAATGAGAAACTTGGTGTTTGGTGTCTTTTGGGCCATACATTTAAATGATCACATACTGAGACACTTTAGACTGGAGCCCTATCATATCCTACAACTCTTAAACAGAGAAACCTGCATGTAAAAACTTGCTTAACATCATTTCTACCATTCCCTCTCCCCTCATGTGTTCCTCTCTCTAGCAGTACCTATTTACTTGTGTATGCTTGGAAACACCATACTGTTTGAAACTTCAGCATTTTCTTCATGCTGTTTTCTTTGCTCAGACCTCATTTCTGCTTTTTCTCTACCTACATAATGCTTACCTATCCCTAAAAACTCACTTCAAATATCACCTTCTCCAGATTTGCTTGTAATTCTGATTTTTGGTAGCCCCACTCCATCCTGCAAATATTTCCATCAAAGTTTGACTTTGCGAGGAAACAGCAGCATGTACTAGTCACTGACAGAGAGACAAATCATGTCCAGTAGGGTAGCACACCAACTTGTGGAGTAATTTCCTGTGTCATCTGGGAAAGTCTTGAGTGTGAACACAGCAATCTGATGAGTCTGTGAGATCAAATACAAAGGTGCAGATGAGAGATGAACAGCATAAAACTGATTCAGTTAGTTCAATAACAACCATGAGGTTTTAAGATATCCCTTGGTGTGTCTGATTCACACATTGTCAGTTGTCGATACCAAGGATCTACATGCCATAATAGCAGCTGAGAGCTGAAAATTGTCAGCTGCCCTTGATCTTTTCAAAGATGCAAATTACCAAGCAGTGAGTCTACAAGCACTTGCTCTGTAGCCCTTGAGGTCACTGTTTTTGGAACTGAGTCATAACTGGGTAACAATACATCCTGATTTTCCCAGGAAAGTGCAGATTTACTCATTTTAACCCAGCAAAACTATTAATGATATTCTTTTTCACTTTCTGAAGTATACCAGTTTTGACATTAAATTGTATCTTGCCATGGTCATACCTTCAGTGGAAAACAAATCTTTTCATGTAACACTAGCATTTATTTTAAAACAACATTAGCTGGTATTTCAAATGATAATAGACAATATCCTTTTTTATGTTTGTACTTTTTTCACCCAATTCAGTTTATGTACAATAATATATACTGATTTTAAGTATACAGTTTTTTAAATTTGACAAATGCATTCCACTCTAATTAACATATAGAATTCTATTACCCTGTAAAGTTTCTCCATGCCCCTTTCCAGCCTGTTCTGTTCCTCATGTCTTCCTAGTCTATATAATCAGGTAACCCATGATTCTTTCAGCCAAATACAGGTCTGATTTCGATCACCATTATTTAGTTTGTCTGTGCCACATGTTTATATAAGTGGAAATTTATAGTATATACTCTTTTTTCATTTTTTTTGCTTCTTTTGCTGAAGGTAACATTTTGACATTCATATATGCTATTGTATACATGCACAGTTAAATCATTTTCATTACTGAGTAGTATACCATGTTTACATATAACATAATTTGTTAATCCATTCACCTGAGGATGAGTGGATGAGTGTTTGGGTGTCCAGTCTGGACTATTATAGGATAAAGCTGATATGAATATTAAAGTGCATGTCCTGTTAAGGCCTAAAGTTTTAATTTTTCTTGGATAAGTACCCAGTAGTGAAACTGACATCATAGACTAGGCAGAAAAATAAATTTATTAAAACACTACCAAACTCTTCTAAATGGTAGTACCATTCTTTACTTTCTACATCAATGTATAAGAGTCCTGGTCACTTCACATCCTGATTGAAGTTGGTATTTACAATCTATTTAATTTTAGCCATTACAGCAGGTAGAAGTAGTGACAATAATCTTTCAATATTAGCCATAATAAAAAGTATTTTTCAAAAATATTTCAATAAACTGCAATCACCATTAGAAATGAAAGCAGATATTTCAATTAAGCCAACTAGCTACAAAATAAAGAGAAATGATTTTAAGTTTTCTAAATTATCTTTATTCAAATACTTTGGAATATATTTTGAAATACATTATATACCAATATTTTTAAAAAGAAAAGGAGAGATTGGCAGAATACATATGTATCCTGAATGTAGTTTTCTTTAAGAAAATATCATAATATGATTTTAGAAATTATTTTAACTTATACTTCTTAATACCCCAATAATCATCTCAAAGTAGATTTTGGAATTCTTCATGGTCAAACTGGAAAATATAGCAATAACCTTAAAATCCTGAAATTTGAAGTGTAATATTACCAAGTAAGAAAAATTATATTCTTCTTAGTTCAGTTAACTCATTTGAGAGTAACATGAGTCATACAATCATACAATTATGTTCAAATAAAGAATGAGAAAATCTGAGGCCAAATACATGATGCTAATTTTGTTAAGTGGTTATGTGATCACAGAATATCTTACAAAATCTTATTTAGAAATGAATTATAGTAGTTAAAGATAGCTGAATAGCAGCTTCAGCCTGAATGTATTCACTTTTATTTTTAAACATCTGGTTCTGATTTTAAGGAATACTCTTAGTAAAGAATATTTTTAAAAACCTTCACACAGTGTTAAACTAAGGAAGGATTATCTCTATTCAGAACAGAACTCAACGTTTGCCCTACCTACCCACATAGTAGTCAAGGATACAAATGACACAAAGGTAATTTACCTGTAATCAGTTCAATATATCAGTTTGCTCAGTGGAGCAAGCTAAATTATAAGGTGAAAATCTATTATAGGTATGGCTGATTATTATTCAAAGATAAGTCTCTTTAGTGTAACTTTGTGGAAAGACATGCAATGACTAGAATCAATCATCAATCACCATATTAGCAGAAATACATTATTCTGTCAGCCTAGGCCTTTGAATAAAATACATTTGATTGATTTAAAGAATGATAACCTCATTGTAAAGAAAGCAATTGAAACACAATTTTGTATCAACTAGAAAGATAACATTTATTTTCCAAACTGCTTTGCAATCTAATTGTCTTTCAAATTTATATGTAACTATTAACACAATGCTTTGTTTCACAAATATTTGTTTCTCAAATAAGTATTATTTACAAATCCCTTACTAAAAAATATAAATACATAAATACATGTACAATTCTTATTTTAATTTCATCAAAAATAAAGTTAGAATACATTAACTTACAGTTAGCCACACAAAAGCACATAGCATGACTCACATGCCTCACTGGGCATTATATATATAAATGAAATTTCTGAAAGTTCAAATAGAACAAGAAACTAAAAGCACCCAAGCTTAAGAAAAAGATAAAATATTCATAATAGAATCTTAAAGTACTTTGATACTAGAAGACATAATGTTAATAAGGAAAAGGTAAGAATGCTTTGTTTGTATTCTGGTAGAATGTTAACAAAACTCAAAATATGCCTCTGCTGCTGAATGTAGCCAGCCATGGAAAAATCTAGAACCTTCTCGGAGTCCCCCTCACCCTATGTCCTTTTCTTGGCATTCAGCTGACCCATGAGCACTGTCTTGGAATAATTATGGCATGGGTTCTCTGGAGCTTCTGCATTTTAGCCTTTTCTATATAATTCCGCAATGTCAGCCTTCCATCAGGCTCGAGCCATACTTTGTTTTATTTCAGTCCCACATGTATTGAAATGTTTATTTAGTCATTAGAAAGCTAAGCTCCGATTAGCTTTACTAGTATTTTAATCAGGAGTTATTTTTCTTAGTGGGCTAGTTACATAACTGCACATGGCTTTAATGGCCTACTTTTGACCCTGTTTCTGACCCTTTTACTTTAAGATTTTCCAGAAGATGAGTTATTTTTATAAGAACACACATACTGTGTTATAGGGGGTATGTCTACAAGGCACATATATATAAACATTTGTTAGTTGTTTCTACCATCCCTAACTTAAGAGAACAAATGAATCTACATCTAAATATTTCTGTCCTTGCCCCAGCTCTGTCAAGTGTTTGCACACACACACACGCATATTCCACTAGTTATACTCACTCTACCAATGAACATGGTGATTACATAAAATCCCAAATGCCTTAAACATTTATTAAGAGAACTCATTCATAAACTTTTTTAGCACCATGGTAAACACTTATATAAGTATAGGAAGGCTTATTCACAGGCCTCTGGGAGCTTACATTCTCAGGACGGACACAAATAATATGCAAAAAGCTGCTCAAAATAATTGTGTAAGGCAGAGGAAATTTTTGTCAAAACAGGTGCCTCATACAGGAAATATCACACGAGTTCAGAGGAGAGAAGATCACTGCAGTTCCAAGTACAAGATCAAACCAAATTAAGTACAGCCTAGACTGGCTGGAGAAACTGGAGGAAAGCAGAACATGTCCTATCTTCCTGAGCATCAGTTTTACTTAATGGTAATTTAAAAGTTTAATCTTATCATTGTGAAATATGGTCATGGGTGCAATCAGGTTTCAGATATATATGGATGATTTAGAAAAGCTGCTGTGGCAGGCTCCCTCTATGACTTTTTCTGTGCCCTTATTTTATTTTTACCTAGAAAAATGTCAAACAGAAAATTAGGAAACTGTTATTCTACATAGCCGCCTATGCACCATCCATGCTGAATACTTTGCCTTATCTGCTTTAAATCACTTTAGAAGGCCATGAAGGAGTCAATGACTCCTTTGTATTTGGAGGATAGTATCAAATCCATCCCTCTCTCTCTGCGGAGAGACTCATCTCCCTAAAGATAGATCGCACGCATGCTCTCTGCCTACAAGTTCATCTCTTTAGCCATATACAGTTATCCCTAAGCAATGCATAGTATTGCTTTCAGTGCCTTAGAAGTTCTCATGCAGGGGATCATTTTATGTAACATCATGCAACCAGGATTTTTTTTCCACTCATTGTGTATTTTTTAAGAATTATCCAGTTTGATATCCCTAGATCACTCATTTTAATAGCTATAAAACATTCCATTGTACAAACCTGCCAAAATAGATTTATCTCTTCTGTCTTTGACAGACATTTTTCCCTATCAAGGAAGGCTTTTCAGAACACTTTTGGATGTGTCTCCCTTTGTATATGTGCAGCAGTATCTCCAGTGGATTCCTAGACACAGAAATGCCAAATCATGGCTTACGCACAGCTTCAACTTCAGTGGACTTCACCAAATTGTTGATGCATGATATTGATACAGCAGTGATAGCTACTTATGCCATTCATCAAATACATCTGTATCTGCTTTTCAGACATTTCTGCCTCACTCAGGTTTTATTGGAATTATGAGTAGTTCTGGCCAATGAGTAGTGAACAGAAATGATACTGCTTTTTCTATTTATATGGGTATGAAGTTACTTAGAATTGCTTTAGTTTTATTTGCTTTGATTGCAAATAAGAAAGTTGTGCATTTCTCTCCTTATTGATCATTAGGGTTTATTGGCCATGAGGATTTCAGCTTCAAAGATTTCACATCATTGATAATTTTTCTATCATGCAATTTACATTTTCCTAATTATATGTCATTCATTCTAAATTCCAGGAACATATCAATTAACATGGCATAATTTACCAGCATCTCTTCCTAGTCTGTGTCTTATCTTTTTAATT